CTGTTTCACAATGTGCTTCCCTCCTAAAAATGACTGGCATTTTATTAATTCTTTGGACCAAACGGATTCTTTCAACACCCTACACTGATATTTCCAAGGCCTCCTGTCTTCCCTAAGGGATGAGTCAGATCACTACCTTATTAGTAGTGTGTTTGGCTTGTTTTACCTCAGTAGGTCACATTGCTTTGTCCCTGCTGAACCTTACCCAGGACTTCAGCGCCCGGCTGCAAACCCAGGCCAAAGGGACTGTGCTTGTACCTCTTGGGCTCCACAATGTCCTCAAGTAGAAAACAGAGGGAACAGAGCTCCTGCTTCAGACAAGTGCCTTTTCATCTTCCAAATTCATACTTGAGAATATAAATCTCAGCGGAATCTCTGGAGGACCTCAGCCACACACAGGATCATGTCCTCTCACGGAAGCTCTAGGACCTGGACATAAGTAGATGCATGGCGCCTGTGTTTCTGGAGCGGGACTGGGAATTTTCCGTGGGTGACTTTGACCCTGCTTCATCCTGTCTGGAATGCTCTCCTGTTGTAGAGGTAAAAACTGTCTGCACCCAAGAATGGGAGGGGCCCCTACAGCCCAAGTGTCTCCACCTCTGTGAGCCATTCTTGACGCCCCACCCCCGATGTGTGTTCTGTGGTTACCAAAGCTCGGTCACCATACTCTGTCACTGTTCCCTTTGTTCCTCTTGCAACCTCTTTTTGTAAGTAGAAAAATAAGATTTAGATCTGTAATTTGCATTAAATCCTCACATGTGTTTTTAAAAATATATGGGACATGAATCCAGAGATGGGTGTGAAAGAAGAAATTGGCCCATTTTAGCAAGTAATTTGGCAGACCACCAACATTGGTCATGAGACCTTCATCAACTCAGTAGATATTTAGTGAGCCCTTAATACATTCCAAACATTTTCTCTTTTCTATCTCCTTTCTGGGGGCTCATACATTAGCCAAAAGGGCAAAGAGTAAGTAAGTATAATTATCTATAAGAAGGAAGTAAGCTGTAAGAATTGAAGATATAGAGAACTTGACTTTGGGGCAAACAGTAACAATGGAGACTCAGTGCCAGTCACTTTACATATTAGCTTCTGACCTTCAGCATGACTCTGATTAGTGCTGTGTAACAAAATACCACAGCCTGGGTGGCTTCAACAGTACACGTTTATTTTCTCGCAGTTCTGGGAGGTAAACGTCTGAGATCAAAGTCGGACAGATGTCCTCCTGGAGTCTCTCTCCCTGGCTTGCTGATGGCCACCTTCCTGCTCCCCACATGGTCCTCCCTCTGCGCTCATATCCCTGGTGTCTCCGTGTGTGCCCTCATTTCCTCTCATAAAGACACCAGCCAGAGTGGATCAGGGCACCCTGATCACCCCACTTTAACTTAATTGCCTCCTAAAGATCTTATCTCCAGATACCGTGACATTCTGTGGTACTGGGGACCAGAGCTTCCATACCTGTATCTGGGATCGGGGGCACGATTCGGCCTCTAACAAACGCTGTGAGGTAGGTGCAGTCATTATCTCCACCAATGAGAGTCAGAGAGGAAAAGTAGCTTGCCTTGGATTTGAACTCCAAGACCCATGCCTTTAACCCCCAGGGTCGTGCACAAGGAAAAAGTCAGCAGAGTACACTAAGAGGTAAGCAGTAACCCGGGATGCATCGTGCAGTCACAGAGCTGATTCGAATCCCTGCCATCCTGCCTCCAAGTCATACATGGTTAGGACTGTTAGCCACACTGAGATTTTTAAATCCTGCCCCTCCCCTGCCCAGACGCCAGTGCAGTCTGAAATTTTCTATTCTTTTCTATTTCATTAAAAAAAAAATCCTTACAGTCATCTAATTGATTGACACCCTACTGGATTGTCAGCCACATTTGAAAAACACTGCATCATGCAGCTTTTGTGGTCAAAAGTGAATTCTTCTCAATTAGGGATGCTAGTGAGAGTTTTAATGTTCTATATATAGTCTTCAGTTACCTAAAGACAACTCATAAGGAGGAAGTTATATTGTCTTAATGAAAAGAAACACATACAATCTGATGTTTCAATCTTATTTTTGCTCTGCCGAGGGCTGCTCCCTGGCTTCTCCTCTCGGAACTGGACTGTTCCGCAGGCACACAGGGATTTCGAGCAAAGGGACTGGACGTCAGCTGGGTCACACACTATTCCTACATAGGAGAATGGTGCTGGGTCCCCTAACTCCCAGCACAGTTTGGATGTAAACTTCCTGGCAAAGGCAGAGAACAGGGAGAATTAGAGGTTTCTCATAGCGGGTATGGCAAGTGGCATTTACTAACTCATAACAGGCTAGAACGCTCATAGTATTGCAAAGATGTGTGTGTGTGTGCACACGTGTGTGCACATGTGTGCATGCATAGGTACACAAGAGCCGAGAAAAGAGAGTGAGAGAAAGAATTAGCTCCAAGTAATAAGATTATTTACAGGCAATAATCTTTAATATACTAACTTGGTTATTAGAGAAACATGGGCCAATGCATATCAGTCTCTCACCAATTTTCCCAGTCATGTTCCTCCTGGGAAGGAGCTAAAAATGGGTGGAGACAATAATGGCAGCTTCCTCCCCACAACCTCCTCAAGCGAGGCTCCATAGAGAATGAAAACCTCTAGCCCTGCCTGAGAAGTCAGAACGGTAGGTGAAAGCACCAACTTTTATGACCCAAGAAAGGAATGTTGGGAAAGGAAGAGAAGGGTTCACTCTCTGCTCGACACCCACCGTTTTCAGATGTGCTTTTGTGTGTGTGCCATAATAGCAAAGAAATACTAAACACAAAGTTTTATAAATCCAAAAAGTCTGGTTATCACAAAAAGCTAAAACAGAGCATCATGCCCCCAAGGAGGATATATTAGAATCTCCTGCAGGTCAGGGATGCAAGGTGTGCAGTTTAACAAAGCTCCCCTGATAGTTCTCAGAAGCCCCTTCATCTCCTTTCCATCCGTTTCCCCTGCACACACAGACTGAGAACCACTGATCTCACGTGAGAAGGGAAGAATGCCAAGAATAAAGCCCCTTTCAGTGGTATTCAGTGAGGAAATACCAACACTGGAGATTTGAACAAATGATGATGAACTTATAAAACAGACCAAGAATCTTCTAGAAAAGTGGGGGAATGCTCAGAGAGGACAGATTCCCAGATGCCTGAAGGATAGATTGTTTCAAGACACCAAGAGTAGTTAACAACATCAAATGCTGCTGATTGGCCAGTAATGTTAATAATATTACCATTTTTAATGATAATGTACCAGGTGTTTTGTACATGTTATGTCATGTGATCTCTCCAGAACTGCATGAGGTAAAACTGAAGTTCAGAGAGGTTGAATAACTTGCTGGGGTTTGAATTCAGGTTTGTATGACCCCAGAGCCCATCTCCTCTCATTGGTCTGTGTTGTCGGTGGTCTGAGAGAGTTTTTGGCAGCAGGTGAGACATCAGGTCAGAGTGCTCTGAGGTGACACCATTCATGGGGGGGGGGGTAAGGGAAGGTAGACATTGAGGACATATGCCCATGGGGTGTTCAGAGATGTATATCATTTCTGAACAGCTTGCTTTTTCTTCTGAATGACTAACATGAGAGGAAAAAATGTTTTAAATAGCTTGTGGCTCGCCACAGGAAGTGTAGGGCATAAAGTTAATGGCATAAAATATTACACACATTCTTAAAAAAGGGAACAAACAAAAAAGAAACCCAGCGAACTACTTTCAATATTCTAGCTTCCAGGTTCTGTTTGGAAGTTTAGTTTAGGGCATTTAATGTCAATCTTTTTTTTTTCCTACTGTGTCATTTCCTTTCATTGTAAATATAATCAGATGCTGAGACTACCGAAGAGTTTTAATTAACAAAAGAGAGAAAGAGGATACAAATCACCCACAAATGCCAACATCCAGAAATAGCTAGACACTGCCAGCGTTATGTAGATAGATGTGGGCAGATGTAAATGATGCTGTTTCTGCACATAAAGTAACCACAAGTCCCATCACCTGCCCAAGTGGGGATGGGGAAGTGCTAGAAAGTTGATAGAAAGACCCTGAGATGAAGTAGGACCCTTGAGGGTTTACTGAGACTGATGTTCAGGGAGGCCAGGGGCAGGGGCTGGATGAGGTCACACATGCCATTGTGGACAGGGAGGGAACTGCTTATGTGGGGTCAGGGGCCCGGGACCACGTGCGTGCTAAAAAGGGCATGTGATCTATGACTATGCTAGACATTTTGCTAGAAAGGATCATTCTTGTGTGACCAGCACCCCAAGGAACAAAACCTTCGTCAGGGTGGTCTGGTTCCTTCACAACAAGATGTTTTCATCAATAAGGCGGGGCTGAGCTTGGCCAGCCCCAGGCCCTTAACATGCCCCAGACAGAGCATACTATCAGGGGAGGGGGCCATGGGGACGCCCGGGTATTCTGGGACAGAGGTTGCCAGCTGGCAGTGCTCGTCCCCCACATTAACCTCTCGTTGTGCACTGTTTCACATATATCACTCCAATAGTGCATATTTTTGTATTTGTAAATTGAAAAATTGAAAAATTTTTGGACATCAGCTTTTTCTTCTTTTTCTTCCTTCCCATCATGTATACTATTTTTTAAAAAATCTGTATTAAAATATAATTGATCCATTTAAAGTGTGCATTTAGTGTTTTTTAGTATATTTATAAATATGTGCAACCATCACCACAATTTTAGGAAATCTTCATCATCTTAAAAGACATCCCACCCACCCCATTCCTTCCCCACTCCCAACCCTAGGAACCAGTACTGCTCCGTTTGGCCTTTAAGGCCAGCTTCTCTCATTTAGCATAATGTTTTCAAGGATCATCCATGGTGTAGCACGTTTTAGGTATTTTCTGTTGGGTATACCACTTTTGTTTAGCCACTTCTCAGTTGATGGCATATGTAATGTTTGACAATGAGTGATCTTACACTTACATATTTGTGTTTTTATTATTACTGTTACTGACATTAGAATCTTAACAATGAAAGTGCATGGATAAAGGGTATGAGTTCTTCCAGGGTTTTTAATACAAACTCTCAAGTATTCTCAAGCCTGTAGGAGAAAATTGATATCCCAGGTGCTAGTTCGATTTGCATTTCTTTGATTACACGGGAGGATGAGCAGTTTTTCATGTTTTTTGATTAATATTCTATGAGTTTTTAGTTACTTTGCCTAATTTTACTTGGTGATGCCTATTTTTTCTTTATTGCGAGAGTTCTTTGAAAAATGAGGACCTCGCTCTAGCACATGTGCTGCTCTGTCTTCACGTGTAGATTGTGCTCGTTTTTCAGTTCTCAGTTTCATTGCCGCCTCTCCCAGCTGTCCTCCCAGCCTCCTCAGTCCAGGCTGTGTGCCCCCAGCCCTGTGCTGCCTTGCATCCTTACAGGGCACTTGTCCAAGTGACCCTTGCCCCTGGCTGGCTGTGAGCAGGAGAACCTGAGTCCCCACACAGGGCTGGACATCTTGCCTGGGCCGTGGAGTCCGGCTTTTCTTCAATCCCCAATCTGCAACCACCAGGGGGCAGCCTTTTCTCCAGTTCCTATGGAGGTTCATTTATACTGAAGTGTTGAAAAACATTTCTTACAGTAAGTCTCTAACAAGCTATTTATAAAATGCATTTAGCTTACTAATATATCACAGAGTGGAAGTTAATGATATTATGTCCTGATTAGAGTGAGGGGTTTAAGGTAGGTTTTTAGCAAGCAAGGGGGGCTGAATCTACACAGTTCGCCATTGTATCTCCAGTCCCCCCTACACAGCGTCAGCCAGAACTAACACACGTTTGTTGAAAGAAAGAAGGGAGAAACGGAAAGAAGAAAGGATATTAACCTTTTACCCACCATATAATTTACAAATATATTCCCTATCTGTCTTTTGCCAAATAAAATTTTAGTGTACTTTTATGCACAGGATTAAAAAAATTTTTGAACTCAATTAAATGTAATATTCCCCTTTACTGAAGTCTTAAAAATTCTTATATTCATAGAACTGTTTCACATTTTTAGTTTTTATATTTAGTCCCATGATCCATCTGGAATTTATCGTGATGCATACTGTCACGTGAAAGATAAGGTTGATACCCTCCACCAATAATTTGAGTTTCTTCAGAACTATTTAATCATCAGTTTCTTCCCTACCGATCCGTGGTGTTTCCCTGAACACTACTAAGCTGTATATACACCAAGCTGTTTTAGATCCATCAATTCTGCTCCATTGTTAAACAATATTATGACTACTCTTCTATTATTTTATTATTTATAATATGCTTAAAGTCTAACAGGGACAATCTTCCACAATTTCTTTTTTTTCGAAATTTTCTTAGTTTTTTAACAAACTTGATTTTCAAGATGAACTTTTGGAAACATCCTGTTTAATTCTACTTAAGATAATAAAACCACAGCTTGATTGGCATCGTGTTAAATTTTTTAATTAGTTTGGAATGAATTAACATCTTTATAGATCTTTTTTCATCCAGAAGCATGGAATATCCATTTATTCCCATTTCATCATGTATCTAAATAATTTTAAGGGTGTTTTCTGTGTGTGTGTGTGTGTGTGTATTTGCTTGTTTAATAGACCTGCACACATACCTTGTTAGGGCAATCCCTAGGATTTTAATTTTTTTAATTTATTGTTTTTGTTGCTGTTTAGGTAAACTCTGTTTTCCTATTCTGTTTACAAACCTGACAGTTGTTATATTGCAAACTATTAGTTTAACACAAAGCTTGCATTCTATCGCTTTAGTAAACTCTGACTCATTCTGGAAGATTTGTAATTGCTTACATTTGCTAGATTTATAAATATATTACCCTGTAAATAATGAAGATCTTTCAAATAGTTGCTTTTTTGTTGTTTGTCTTGTGCTCTGCCCAACATTTCCGAAGGGATGCCAAATAACGATACCTGTTTGCCTCCGCAGGCACCGAGGGATGCTCCTGATGGCAAATAACAAGAGATTCTGAGTTCCTTGCAAGCAGAGTTCATGCTTTTTTCTTTTTTTGAATCTTTAGCACTTATCACAATACCGAGAACAAGGGAGGTACACTATAGAAATTTATGTCATCAACAAACTTGTTTAAGGGAATAGGAACGCGTCTGAAGTTTCCCCATGAATTAGTGCCCATGTGCAGGGTGCATCTTTCTAGTCCCAAATTTATGAGTTTGTGTTTGAGTGATGCTTACTGCATTGCTTCCTAATTACGAGAGTAGGAATTGCCAGCATTGACTCCTTAAATGTTTCTAGAAGATTATTCACTAAAATATAAATAATTTGTACGTTCTCTTTAAGGATAAACTTTACAATAGTAATATACACCAATCAAAAGAAATCTATATACTCATACAAGCATGCTCTGTTCCCGATGTATTTGTCCTTCAATAATGTAATCTATGCTAATGCAGCCTTAAAAAATGGCCCTTGCCAAATGACATGAACAGGTTTTCTTGGAAGCATGCCAGGCTTAATAAAGAGCAACAACTACCAATACCATTTAAAGCACATTTCTGATATCATTCTGATATATATTTTAACCATGTTCTTTGTTGTTAATGTCATCAAAGGGTGTGATGAATAACTTTTGAGGCTTGTAAGTCTTTTTTTAATGTCACCAGTGGATCCATTTTTTAAAAACTGTCTTCAGAGGACTCATAATCTTCCAGGTGAATGTTAATCTGTATTTTAGGCAGCTGTCTAGAGATGAGCCTTGTGAGTAGTATATTATTTTTTGAGATATTTTGTTACATCCTTAGTCCCAGGCTATTCGTTGTATTTGGCTTAATCAGAAGCTAAGCATTTTAATTCAGCTCCTTTTTAATAAAACTCAGTTGCAAATAATATTCTGATACTATTATTATATTTGCAGCATTCATCTCGAAATCCAACCTAGCACTATCTTTGCTTCCTTTTCTATAAACCCTTGGCTTCCCATTGTTTTGCACAGGGGTCTAAAGCCCATGACTTTGTTATAAGGAAGGATTTCTCCGTTTTTCCCCACTACTTATTAATGTAAGAGATCACAATGATGTGCTTTCCTCAAACTCTTGTTTTAAATGGATCTCATACTAAGGAAGTGATGAGAAATTTTGGACTAAAGCTCTGCTTTTCCTGTGTCAGTGTTGCATTTCTCACTAAATCTTCAGTCTTGTCTCTTATCCTCAGAGTTAAGCTTCCCACCTCAGTGACACAATTGAAATCAACGAGTTGCTAATTGTGTGAGTGATCCCAACCAAAGTGAACTTACTGGTTTTCAAGGACCAGGGGTGGACAAGCAGGAAACATCTCTGGCCTCCCAGTCCCCTCACAGAGGATTAGGCCACGTGGTGGTGGGTATTAGACCCCTCTGTGTAGTGTTGGTCTGTGTCATGAGGACCTGGTGGATGCCATTACTGGACAATAAAGAGAAAATTCAGCATCCACATAAACTCTTTAGCAGTCCATATCATGGATCCCAAGTAATACTCACTCATGCTGATAAAGTTCAAATGTAACAAAGTGTTAGAGAAATTATCAAGTTACATGAACCCTCAAGCATGCCACCAGATAAACTAATTTTACTCTACCTGGCTATGAGATTACTGTGTAGGCTCAGTCTTTTTCCATTTTGCTCTTGCAAAAAATGATCTGAGCCATCTTTTTGCATCCACTGTCTGCTCTCAAAGTTTGTAACTTCCTTTAAATCTTAAGCTACAACTCTGTTGTACGCTGTGAATATTAACTCAGCTGAATACTAAAGGTTGGTTCATCCAGCTGTCTCCAGTAGGTAGAGCATTCATTGGAATCTTCCCAGCCCTTGGACAATGGGAATTTTTAGCTAAGGGTCGGGCAACTTGCATTTGAACTGGTGACTGCAAGATTAATGTTTAAACTGTCTGTAACTTCTCAAAGGTTAAAGACATGGTTGAGAGATTCTTTTAAAATGGCCATGTGGGATGTTTCACTGTAGGAGGGTCTACTTTACTTCTGAGTAAGCGACCCAGTAGTGCAGAGACATTGGCCTGGTTTTGTGTAGTTCTGGGTGGGATGTAAGACGTCTGCCTAGAAGCGTACGTACATCAGTGAACCTGGTGTGTTTTGAACATAGGTTCATTTTCAGAGCTGAAGTATGGAAAGGTGATGACACAAACTCAAAGTGAAAGTAGAAGCAAGCCTCCCCTTCCTTATTTCACACAGAAGTGGGCCTGAAGCTGCTGCAATCATGGGCATGTTTGATGTTGCAAAAAAGGAAGCAAAACAGATAAAAAGAATCCTGTGCAATGTGGCACCGTTTTCAGGTAACAGCCAGATTGGAAACTGCCCTTTTCTGAGAACTACTGTGAATCACAAAACTTCTCCCACTGTTTACTACACACAGCTCAGAGAAGTGGAGGTACAAACCAGCGTACCAAAACCTTAGATGCATACACATTGTATATAATTATATAATGTAATAATTATATAGTGTAATAATTATATATCAATAGATAACATGGTATATAACACAATGTGTAGTATATGAAATACATATTCAATTAGGTTATATATTATACAACAAACATGATACATACCATATATGTTATACACATAAATACATGCATATGCATGTACTTGTATGATAAGCTTATGTATAATAAACATACACATATATAATAAGCTTAAGAATGGGTATTCTAAGAGGGAAAAGGAGCTAAGGTAACAGGGTTATTTCAAAGACAATGGGACAAAATGCGGAGGGTGAGGTGCTTCTGAGAACAGCAGGGCACCTGTCCTGTAGATCATCTTCTGCCCTGAGGTAGATAAAGTGAGAGGACTGCAAAAATTAGGCAAATAAAAACAGAACGAAATCACTGTGTCACCAGAATCACTCACTTGTGGGGCGTGTATTGCATGTCAGCAGCTCTTGGCCATAATAAAGGGACATTACTGCTGCTTTGAAGAGTGGCGATGGTCGCCGGGACCCATGGCAGCCTCGGGGGGTCAGCAGCGGTCACCTTGCTTTTTCCAAGGCAGGGAGAGGGACAATTCCCCATTCACTCAATATTTATCAACGCTCTTCATGAATTAAGAAATTTGACTCAACTCTGGGGATACAGAAGTAAGAAAAGCTCATGGAGTATCATGATGTTTACAATCCAATCAATAAAGAGCAGAAAAAAATAAACGTTAGTTCCTACCAGAAGCCAAATGAATACTTCGGAGGCACACATGGTATACGTCCTGGGGACCCCGCGCACATTTAGAACACGGAGGGCCGGAAGGTGCCCAGAGCAGGGCTTCCAGCTTCAGAACATGGCTGTTGGCCTGCTGGGAGCCTCCGTGGACCCCCAGTCTGGCGTGGGCAACACCACAGCGTGGGTAACATTTTATCATGCGTAAATTAACTGTGTAGGAATCCAAATTTAGCTCTTAATTTTTAGAACAAGTCTTTTCATTTTGCTTTCTAAGCCGTAAGTCAAAGTCGCAGAGACTCTAATCTAAGGCTTCGGATGCTCCAGGCTGAAGTAGTCCTAATGCCCATTTCAGGTCTGACCTGGGGGCCGACCCACTGTGTCATCAGGGCTTCTCCCTTTCCCCTCAGTAACCAGAAAGTGACCAGATAATTTAAATATTTAGCAGCAACAGGGTACCTAGTTAATTTTCTCCTCCGGTGCCCCTTCCTCCTCCCTTTAGGTCACTCCAGAACCTTCCTGCCGTTAATTCCAACATTGGCATTTACGCTTCCAATTGCATGCAAGCCTCCACTTAGAGTGCATTCGACAGATTATCTCCTCTTGGCCTTTTGCTCAAACTTTCTGTATCGTAAGACAACACCGAACACCCAGCCTTGAGGCTACTCCAACAGCACCATGGGGGATGTGTGCTCTCTTGGCCAGAGGTGAACTCTGAGTTGGATTCACTGACTCTTGATCCCAGGCCAGGCTCCAGCCCACAGCGCTCCCTGGAATAGGTCTTGGCAGGGGAGCCACCAGTCTCCCGCTGTGAGGCGTGGAGCCACATTTTCCCCTCCGGCTTATTGTCCCCTTGGTCTCTCACGGATCCCTCTCCCTGGGTTCTCCCAGCTCTTTGGCTGACGCTTTATCCCCGCTTTTGGACTCTACCTTTTTTGTCCCAGGTGTTCTTTTCCTACTTCATAGCTTCTCTGGGAGATGTTATTTTTCCTTCTGGATTGCTCATTATTTTTAAGTTGGAAGCCAACCTATCTATAGCCCACATTTTCCTCTTAGCACCTGAGCTGTGTGTGTAGCCACTCCCCACTAGTACGCACTGCAGAAACATAAACATCTAGGACTCTAAGGCAGACCTGGTTGCCCACAGGCCTCCCCCTCCCCACTGGGCCTTGCTTGGTTGCTGGTGGTTCTTGGCTTGGAGAATAGCACCGCTGTCACTTAATTATAGGTTTCATACTTCCCCCTTTGCACCTGCACATCAAATTAACAGCTAAGTTCAATCCATTCTGCGACTGAAATTTCTTGCAAATCTACCATCTGTTTTCCGTCCCTACCTCCACTGTCTCATTCATCACTATCGTCTCTCTCTTGGATTCCTTCAAGAGATTCCAGACACAAACTTCTTTCAGTCGCTTTTCCTGCCCCCAAAGAGTATCCCTTCCACAGTGATATCTTGAGAACAAAAAATCACCACTTTAAGCAAAACTCTGAGTAGCCACCCTGCTGTTCTTAAAGTTCAAAGTCCCTAACATAACTTACAAGGCCCTCCACGATGTGGTCCTGGCTTACCTTCCCGGTTTCGTCTCCCACCTCTCTTGGAATCATGCACAATTCAGCTACCAGATCTGCCTCGAGGACCAAAGGCCTTATTCTGCCAGCTATGAGGTCTAGTCTTGGCAGGCAGCCCTCTGTGATCCTTTTTCCAGACTGCCTTAGCTGAAGAGAATCCTCTCACACAAAGCAATGCCACCCCCATTCCCAGAATTGCATCTATTCAATGAATGGCCCACTCGGAGTAATAAAGGCCGGTTGTGTTATCCCAGCTTGGAACAACCTAAGGGCCGTCTCAGCTTCAGGGCTCCTGATGGGTTTGGCTGAGATCTCTGTGGGGATGGTGTGATAGCCGACTGCCTTCTCTGCTTCGTTCCCTCCCTTCCATATTCTGTAGTAAAGAATAATAAACCTTCCACATACTGATCTGTCTCCGAATCTGCTTCCCAAGGAGCCCAACCTGCAAAAAATCGCCAGTTCGCATTTCTGGCTCTTAACATATGGAACATTGTTGAATTTCTAGAATGCTTGTCTTGCTTTCAGTCACCTCCAGGCCTTTGCTTTCCAAATGAGAAAAAGCCGCCTCTCACCTTACTTCCCTATTCCCAAAAGGTCCCCTTTTAAATGTATTCTTACAGTATCTTATACATCCCACATCACAGTTCTTACTGCTCAGCACTACAACACCCCTAGAGTGTAAACTCTACCTTTATGCTCATATCCCCAGTGCCTGGCACAGAAGAGATGCTCAGTAAAGAATTGTTGAATACCTTCATTCATTCATTCTTCATCCTGCTAATTGGGTAGTTCCATCAGACGGTCCCAAATCCAGTGGCCATGACAGGCTCTCCGACAGTGCAGTCGCTTTTGCACCACTTTCCCGCCACAGTTTATCCTGATGATGACGTCTCCTGGACGGGCATTACTCTGGTTTGCCTATTTTGTTCTTCACCTGAGTTTTCATGGCTATGTCAATACATTTAACTACTTAAAAAATAGCATTGCTGGCCTGGGTGTCGTTGTGCCTCTTTGCCATGATTTTAATGTATTATTTTTGGTCTCAGCTGCTTTTGTTGATTTTATGCTTTGATTTTTTTCCCCAAGTTCTCGTGGGGGTCAGGAGCTATGCTCTATAGTGCCCATATTCTGGCTGCCAGTGACAATATACCCTTGCGGTGGAAGGGACTCAACCAACATTTCTCTCTTTTGATTCTTTTTCTGGTTTGCAAAAAAAAAAAATAAATAAAATACAGTTTCCAACAATTGGCAGCAGTTTAATATGCTTTTTAGCAGGATTTCTGCTTGTGCATGGACAGAAACAATAATTTTGGGGAAAAGGTAACACTATCACGTAGAGTTCATAAGAGCCAAGAAGTAGTTATTTACAATGCAAAAGATAACACCGCATTAATATCCAAAAAATACCTGACGACACCACTTATAAAACACGTTTCTGTTCCCATTCTTAGCTCGGTGGGCACACTCCAGTTGGGCTTCAGCTCTCACCCTGGTGCAGAATCATTCTCAGTAAGGGCCCCAGTGTTACCCAATTCAAAGGCCACTGTTCAGTTCTTCCTCTCTTGACCTTGCTGGTGAACACTTCCCCCTTTTACACACTTGCCTCCACTCTCCCCTTTGTCCCCTCTCCCCGCTTTCCTGTACCCCCTGGGTCTCTCCTTCTTTCATTCCTCCTGTTATAGGGATCCCTCTCTTCCTTCCATGTATATGCACAGTGGTTTCTTCAATCCTTAGGACTTTGCTCAGCATCCTAGACTTTCTTTTTCCCCGTTAGAGTAATTACTGTGTTGTATTCTTCACAACTGTTTGACTGTCTGGTGCACTTGAGTGTGAGTTACTTCAGGATAGAGATTGTGGTTTTTTGGGCCCTGGTACACAGAACAGAGCTCCAACACAGCAGGTGCACAATACGGTAGATCCCCCCACATCTGCGGGGAAATGTTTCAAGACCCCCAGTGGGCACCTGAAAATGAGGACAGCACCAATTACTCTACAGCTGACCCCCAAACAACATGGGTTTGAACTGCATGGACCCACTTATACACGGATTTTTTAAGAAATAAATAATACTGGAAAATTTTTGAGATTTGTGACAATTTGAAAAAAACATTTTCTTTGCATTAGCTACTTATACAAATACAGTATATAATACATATAACATACAAAATATGTGTTAGTCGACTGTTTATGTAATTGACAAGGCTTCCAGTCAACAGTAGGTTATCAGCAGTTAAGTTTCTGGGGAGGCAAAAGGTATGTAAGGATTTTCGACTGCACGAGGCATCAGCACCCTTAAATCCCACACTGTTCAAGGGTCAGCTGTATATACTGTTGTTTGTCTATACACACATACCTATGATAAAATGTATCAGGCACAGTGAGAGGTTAAAAACAGCAAATAATAGAACAGTTGCAACGATGTAGTGTGAATGTGCCTGTCTGTCTGAGAATATCCTGCTGTACTCACCTGTTTTCTTCCTGTGATGAGGGGAGGTGATAAAGTACCCCAGGGCAAGATGAAGTGAGGTGAGGAGGCAGGCATTGTGATGCATGTGAGGTTAGACTGACCGTCTGACAATACGTCCATTATTATCACTGGATTCCCGCCAAGGGATGGGGCGACTGAAATGGAAAGCACTGTCCTCGAATAAGGGGGCAATACTGTAGTTGTTGACTTTAATGGATGAATATCCTGGAATCTGCTGGTTTTCATAGTCCACATTTGCCTTCTTACTCATCTCAGAAAAGTACCCTGAACTAATTAAATAACATTTTTAAATAGTCTGGAAAGATGTATGCTTATTGTAGATTTAGATAAAGCCATCCACTTATGCTAGTCATCTAAATTCTCCAGAACTCTATATAATGATGAAAATATTTCTCCACCGTATATTAGATATGAGTCATGTATATCTCTTCATTGGGAGCCTATGAATGTATATGCCTTTACTTTATAAGTATATTTGGTTGGGATGTGGAACTATGTCCCAAAGATACATTTTAAATATGGAGTTGTAACAACAATGTTTTTCTTAAGAATTTTCAAGTTACTTTTTTTTCTATAAGAGAATATAATAAAAAAGATTCATCATCACATTATTAATATTATTTTACCAGTAGAGATTAAATACCATGACTACTAATTTGTTTTATTTAATCCAATAAATGTTTTTGGTCACCTGTAATATGCCCAGCAACATAAAAAGCAATGATCTATTTTGATTGAAATGGACATTTGTTTTCTAGGCTACAGTTACTGTATTCCTATGATACTCTTAATATACACATGCACTTCTAAAAATTGTAAACTAGTATATAATAACATAAATCTGGGAGACTGCTTTCCTGAGCAAACCAAGACACAGATGGCAGGTACTCTGCTATTCTAATCTCAGAGTAACTTGGATTTGACTTTAATGTAAGATTATTTCAACTGATGGGAGAATATCATAGGCAGAGTTGTAATTTTTATCTCTAGTTCAGAAAACAAAAAACAAAAACAAAAAACAGTTGCCTTCTGTATATAGAAGGCACAGATAATAAACTGTAAGGACAGGTTCAGTGATTAGATAGCCTCTCTCTGATTTAATGAAATTCACCTAAGAACAAGAAAATGATGGAAAAAATCTGGACAAAGATTCTGAGAACTTGGTATTGCACAGCTCAGTTCTGCCTTTAGTGATGACTTTGCGAAGATCCTTTGATTTCTCTGGTGTCTCATTTCCACTCATTTGGTTCTCATTTGGTTATTCATCCAAGTAATAAATATTCACGAGTGGCTGCTCTGTGCGAGGAGCTGTTTTGGAGTGCAGCAGTTCTCATATATAATTTCCATATATGTAAAGGTTTTCAATACTCTTCATTGGTCATTGTGCGTAGCTGTGCCAATAAGGTGCTCATTCATTTCTATAGTGTCATAGTAAGACTAACACACAGCTTTACGTATTTTACAAGTTATGCCTGGCATAAGGACACCTCGCTGGAGGGACGGGTGGAGTCTGAAATCTCAATTCTGCTTTGTTCACCCTGGCACAGGGCTGTGTCTGCCTGGAAGGAGGGGCACATTTTTCTAATTCACTGGGATGTTTTTCCTCCCTATGGGAAATCGGCAAAGGCCAGCAGAGGCCCTGAATCCATGTCTGATTGGATAAATCTCCCCACTTCATCCTTTTTCAAAAGTTTTTCAGCTCTTCTAGGCCCTTTATTCTTGTTGAAGTCTATTTAAAAAAATCTTGCTGAGACTTGCATTTTTATTACTTTGTGGAGAATTGTCATCTTTTTGGTATTTAATCTTTCATTAATTAATATGGTCTATCCATTTATTTATGACTTGTTATTGCCTTTTAATACACATTAATCATTTCTTCAAAAAGGTTTTAAAAAATAGTTTGTGAGATCAATTCCCAAGTTTTCTCTCCCTTTCTCATTCTTGTTTTTATGCACACACACATACAATTACCTTTTACAACTGTGTGTTTCTGATCTTTAGGAACACAATTTTTTGCATAATTATGAAGCTACATCTCTTATATTTATTGTCCATTAAGGGTCCTGTCCATTAAACTTCCTGTCCAAAACTTTAGTCCATTTCTTTTTCCCCTGGGCTATCTTTGGAGTTTCTTTCTCCCCCCAATAATTTGTAAGAACTTTCGAAAGGTTAAGGCTGTTTTTTGTCATATACATGGCAACGTTTTTCTAGTTTGCCATTTACTTTTTACATTCGTTTATTTTGTTTTCATAGCCAAATAATCCAGTACCATTTTATTCTCCACTGAAGACCACCTCTGTCATTAATTTGTGCTTGTAGCCTTCTTTCGCAGTCTTGTTAACTAGTTGAAGCACTAATATGTCTTGGGATTTTAGTCAATCACTTAAACTCTTTTGAAAGCTAAGAGGATACTTTGCCTTACCCCTGCAGTAGTTTGAGAGAATGCTCCTGACAGAATTCATCTTTCTGCACG